GGCGTTTTGCCGTTGCTCTCAACAGATGCAGTACCAGACCCTGCGAGGCAGGTCCAAAGCCCACAGAAATCAAGATGGATCTTTCTGCAAACTTTGTCGTGGCAATGGAAACAAATTTTGCATGTGGCAAAAAGAAACACTAGACTCATTGGAACGGCCTGTTACAAAGATTATATTCCAAAGATGAAAATACAATGTGTTTTATTTAAAAATGAAAGTTAAGGTTCGTGCAGGGAAAGCTGACCTACCCTTCCTTAGTGTGACGCTGGGTGCAGCAGCATCCAGCAGGGTCTGAGCCCCAGTCAGCCAGATGAGCCAGTCTCAGAAAGCGGAACTGACTAATCTGAGTTGTCTGGGATGAGCTAGGCATGAGTGAGATCATTCCCCGTGTAAACAGTGTGAAAAGTAAATGAAGCTGATAAGGAGCAGTTTTTTTCATTGTTGTTGTTTTTCTTGATTCTGTGTGGGAGTGAATAACAATACAGGTGAGGATTTTAAATAGCAAAGCAGAATCAAACAATGGCAACGTGTGGCCCTGGATGTTCAGTCATGATGAGACACTGAAGGTTCTGTTCTGGGGTTTTTTGTGTGCTTGTACAGAACCACATTTAGAAGGTTTAGTTTCCTGTAAGTGCTCAGCACTTAAAAACAACCAGCCTCACTGGAGAACTGGGACCACGATCTTTATCTTCTGACCATGTGCTTTTAGAGCCATTTCCACTTGAGAGGCAACTGTTTTCCTTCCACCTCCTCACAGAGCCATCTTTCCTACCTCAGACATTTTCACCAGGACTGTATAGGGCAGAAATTAACCCAAACCCCAACAGTGAAGGTGGGGAGATCCTGCCCAACATGCAGATTGTTTGCACATCCTTGCAGTATGGTGGAATCAACCAACACCCTGGTACAGTGTGTGCGTGATGTGGTTGAGGAGTAGATGGTTGCTGATTTTCAACTGCCTACCTCTGTTCTGTGCATGGCCTTGTGTTAGTTTCAGGCATAATAACATCATGATATCATAATGATACATCGTGCTCTGATGACACCATCACATGGAGTAAGCCACAGCAATCTGATCTCATTCTGCAAACGTGGAGATGAGCATTACTGCTTCACAGGACAAGTGGGTGGCAGGTAGATGGAGCTGGCACTACCTATATTGTCAGCCCTGGGTGGGAACGTGACCTGCTGGGTTAAATTAGGTGGCTGGGAGCTTAACACCTCAGCTCTAAATCAGCCTCAGTGGTTGTGGGTGAGTCACCAAACCTATGTGCATTCACTTCTTCCATCTGTGAAATGGTGGCAATAATATTTCCTCACCTGATGGGGGAGGGAAGGGAGCGTGTGTACAAGAATGAATAAATGTTTACAAAGCACCTTGTGAGCATTGTACAAGCTCTGGCTGTGCTGAGGAGGAACCCGTGTCGTTTCCTCTGCTCCGAGTTGCACCATACTGTGAGCACATTGTGAGGTGTAAACACTCCCCTCAGAGTCAACAGTTTCAAATGAGAGCAAATTAGATAATTTCTCAGGAGAGAAACAGAGTGAAGACTTCATGTGTTACCAGCAATTTCAATAAATTCCATTCAAGAAAAAGCAAAGTAACTTTTTAAAGGAAAATAATAAAGTAGAAAAACAAATGAGCTGTGACAGGTATTTCTTTTTTAATGGTACCGTGATCTTAGATTTCACTTCCCAAATAGTAAACAGAACAGAGAAGTGAATCCCCTAGAAATAAAAGTGAAGTTAATAACGGGATGCCTTTAGCTCTTACCACATCCTGTATATGCTGATCGCTCTATTTGTAGCTGGCAGGAGCCCTTCTAGACTTTTCTTTACCATGTTAATTCTTTGCTGAGTCAAACCATGTTGTATAAACAGTTGGGAAAAAGCCTTCCTGCATCTCCCCTCTGGCACTGCAGTGCCCTGCGCGCTGTCCTGCACTGGCACTCGCCTTCCTTCCCACGCACCCCGGTGCCTGTGCCCACATTGCTGCCCTTCTGCCCTCCCACTGGTACAGACCCACACTCCCCATGGCTGGCAAAAACTCAGTGAGCACTTGCAGTGAATGAGCACTCACACAGCCCTACCCACCCTTTTTCTTCTGCAGTTTCAGGTGCTCACATGCAGATGCATGATGGCCACTCAGTAACTTGTTCATATGTTCACTAGCACTTATTCTCATGCATGTACACGAGTCCTTAACCCAGCACAAACACACACACATGCAAATATGCACACTCTTCTAAGTCTAATACATGCACTCTCACCAGTGCATACATACACCAAAACACTTATTTTTTACTTTTTCTGATACTACAGAGAGCATCTGCAGAAGAATCTGGACAGGCTGGATTGATGGGCCAAGGCCAGTGGTATGAGGCTCAATAAGGTGAAGTGCTGGGTCCTGCACTTTGGTCAAACAACCCCATGTAGCACTACAGGCTTAGGGAAGAGTGGCTTTAAAGCTGCCCAGCAGAAAAGAATGCAGGGGTGCTGATCAACAGTGGCTGAACATGATCCAGCAGTGTGCTCAGGTGGCCAAGAAGGCCAGTGACATCCTGGCCTGTATCAGCAATAGTGTGGCCAGCCAGACCAGGGCAGTCAGTGATTGTTCCCCTGTACTCAGCACTAGTGAGGCTGCACCTTGAGTACTGTGTCCAGTTCTGGGCCCCTCACTACAAAAAGTGCATTGAAGTGATGGAGCAGATCCAGGGAAGGGCAACAGAGCTGGTGAAGGGTCTAGAGAGTAAGTCATATGAGGAGCAGCTGAGGAAGCTGGCAGTGTTTAGCCTGGAGAAAAGGAAGTTCAGGGGAGACATTACTTCTCTCTACAACTACCTGAAAGGAGGTAGTAGCAAGGTGGGGATCAGCCACTTCTCCCAGGCAACTTGTGACAGGAGGAGAGGAAACGGCCTCAAGCTCAAGGGGAGTTTCAGGCTGAACATCAGGAAGAATTTCTTCACTGAAAGGGTTGTAAAGCATTGGAACAGGCTGCCCAGGGAGGTGCTGCAGTCAGCATCCCTGGAAGCATTCAATAAATGACTGGATCTGGCACTTAATGCTGTGACTTAGTTGACATGGTGGTGTTTGCTCAAAGATCGGACTCAATAATCTTGAAGATCTTTTCCAACCTTAATGATTCTGTGATTCTGTGAAAAGTATGCACTTCACAAATGCAAGCTTGTCATAACAGTAAACAGCTCATCTAGGAGGCAGATCTAACCCCCTCGATAGCATTGTCATTACAATAGCCCTTCTTCCTGGGATGAGTTTCATGGCTAAGGGTTCAATTGCTTCAGGAAATATGGTGTAGACTGGCATATTAATTCACCAGCACAGATATTTTTGTTGGCCTGATTTAGGCTGGACACTTATCTTTTGGTGCATTACTGGATTTTGCTGCTGCTGCTTTTCATTCTGCTTATACTGTTGGAGGTGACCATAGGACCCTCCCTTCATCAGCAGACTTGCTCTTTTGAACAGTTTCACTAAAAAAGCCTTTACCATCCACCACCCCATACCTGCTCCTCAGTGGATCTTCAGCATTTCAGTGACACTTAGAAATTCTGGTTTGCATTTTGAAACAGCTGTACTTGCAACAGACACTGTCATATCCACTACAGCTTGAATCTGTAGGGGTTTTATCCATCAATGATATTAGACGTAACAGACTGGTTGTCATGGTTTAAGCAGGCCCAAAATCCAATTCTGATTCCTAGCCCCCCACCCACATCTCAACCCCATGTGAGATGGGTTTTCCAGACAAAAACATGAGACTCAATATGGGGGAAGGAATATATTACAAAGACTATACACATAAATAAATACTATAATACACTGTATACAATCTTAACTCTATATCTATCTCTACCATGACAATAATATTTACAATGGGTCAAATCTCTTCTCTCTCCAAATAAAAGTCCAGGAGAGAAGAAGAAGAAAAGACCCCTTCCAGTCTGTCAGCAGCAGATCTTTCTCTCTCTCTAGGCAGTAGGCTTTCTGTGTCTTCTCTTCTAGGCAGCAGTAGTAGTTGCTGGCTCTCTGCCAGCACACACGAGGGAGGTCTTCCAAGCCTCTCTCGGCCCCCGTCTTCAAACAGGGGGTCTTTCCATGGGCTGCGTAACCCCAGACACGGCCGCTACACCATGGTCATATCACGAAGCACCGGGGTCTTCGTGACGGTCTGGTATCCTCAGGGGAAATCAAGCCCCTGTGCAGAGCTCCCATGCTCTGCCTCAAAGATGGCTGCCAGCTTCTCTAAAGCCGGAGCAGGGGGGGCCAAGGTCACCCCCCACACACACACATTCCTTCGGCCGTCCTGGCTTAGCTCTCAGGAGGCCATGAGCTTCCTAGCTCCTCTCAGCAGTGCATACTGCACTTTAGGACTCTTCTCAGTCCACCACCCCCTCCTCTTTCTCGGAGGGGTCTCTAGCGAGTTTGGGGGTTTTGGTTTATCCAGTTCTTACCCCGCGAAACTCTGTTCCTGCTGCTGGCTTGGTTCTCTTGTCCTGTTGCTGCTTTTCCTTCTCCTCAGACACCTCTGTGTCTGCCTTAGCTGCATACCGGCTTGTGTTGCTCCTTTTGGTCCTTATCAGTTGGCTCTTTGCCACTGCTCTTCGGACGCTGCTGTCTCCGCTGCTGCTCCGTCGCTGCTCCCAGCGTCTCCCACTTCTACTTACAGGGAAGAAACTCCCCCAGCTCCTAGCTACAGGCACTCAGTCCAGCTAACACTGTTCCAAGTCCCTGCAGCCCCCCAACTGGGGGCTGGGGGGGCAGAGGCCCCCAAGGGGCCGGAGCCCCTTCTCCTCGTGGCCTCTACAACATGGCCACTTCTTCTTCTCCCACAAGTACTACTGCTTCTCTTCCGATCTCCAGAGATATGTTTATATTTTGCAGGAGCATTGATTGGTCAAGCCCCAAGGGTCACCACCCCCTGGGGGTTACCACTTTTCTTAGTTTCAGGGGGAAAACCTGGCTCAAACCACTACACTGGTCATCTTTGAGCCATGCATCTTGAACGCACCTGAACTTCGGAGGAGCTGCACAAGTCTACCCAGCATCCTGGCATTGTACTGGTGGGTCAATCAACTGCAAACTTCAGTAAAAATTAGTGGGCATGATTTCCCAGCTGGATATACATAAACTGAAAGGCTGGGAACTTTGGAGTCAGAAGACTTTTAAAAAATTATTTTAATATATCTAACAATGCTTACTCTGTAGGCCTGGAGATAGCAATTGTCCATCCAAAGATAAACTAAGCAGCACAAGTTGTGCACGTGCTGTTATTGCAGCAAAGCCTCAGCTAGAAGGACACTTTGATGGAAAAATTTATTTCCAGGTAATTTCAGTTATCTCTGCTGGGCTGGCAAGGGAGAATGGCAGACACAGAGACACCAGTTACTGCAGAATTACATGTGTAGATACTTGTTCACTAAGAAGTGCCTATACCATTGGCTGAACTCTCATTTCACACAGGGCATCAAGCAACCACTGAAGGGGAAGAGTTCCTGTTGCTAGGAGTTACTGCTGGACCTATTATCCAATTGGACCGGCCACATGCAGGAGACCTGAAAAAGAAAATTTGATCTGTTTTTCTCCTTGACCACTTGAAGGTGGTCCCAAACTTCTGATTAAGCTCTAGTTACTTGCCAAATAACACCTCCCTTGCAGAACTGTGGGCTGGGATACTGGCATTTTCCAAGTGGCACTAGAGGGCCCATGTCCTCACATTTCCAGGAGAGCTAATCCCAGATGTTTGAGAATCGGGTTCCAAAATAATGTCAGTCACCTAAAGAACATAATTAAAAAAAAAAAAAAAACAACGAAACAAAAAAACCCAATAATGTTGAATTCTGTATGTTTGCTTTTGACTCTAGTCTTTGACTCACACTCCAGAGTTTTCATGTTTTTCTCTGCACTAGGTAGCAGGAACAGAATGCTTTTCTTAGCTGAAAAATTAGATTCTCTTACAGCCACATGATGTATGGAGCAGAGCTTTATAGAACAAAAAGAGCAGTAAAGTAGGAGAAGTAGCCTTCCTCTTCCTCCCCAGTAGCCCGCAATCAATGTCTCTCATGTGTCTGCAAGACCTTTTATCCCCTTACAGAAAGCAAATGATTTCTAAGGAAGAAGCATCCTGCTATTGATTCCCAAGGCTGCCTGGGTTTGGCAACACTGAGGTAACTGTGCTGTGGAACAGGGCATCATGTCATCCCATCAGCACTCACTACCTGTACTATACAGCAGCCCAGACACCAGCCCCAGTGTGTCTGCTCTTGTGAGGAGCATGATTAGCTCTTCTTTGATGACAGTAAGTCCAGGCTTTGCTTTTGGTTCTCAGCCAAAACTCTACCTTTCCATGAAGCCAGGCTCCTAGCACAGCACTGGCGGCTGGGAGCACCCAGAAATGCTGATTGAAATAGTGACAGGCATCATTCAGCAAACGATTTCCCCTCCCTGGTCATCCACAGAGCATGTGGCAAAGCTCCTACCTCTCTGGGTCAGTCACCTGTATATGCATTGCACTTCTCCCTTTCTAGTTTCTCCACAAAGGTTTGTGTATGCAGGAAAAATTGGAAACTCAGAAGGCATCTGTCCCCTCCCAGCCTGGCTGCCTTCCCGCACAGAGAGGACAGATGCCTTTGCTTTATGTCACCTCTCAGCCTCTGGTCCCCAAACTCCAGTCTCAGAATCGGTGTGGTTCTTTACTGACTTCATAAAAATAAACAAAGGCCTGGTAGCATTTAGGTCTACTAGTAAATTATTTACACACACAACCTCCTTCTGTTTCTTATTGCACGGGTCTTGGTGTCACCACACCCTGCCAGGGACCATGTTTGTCCCTGGAATGTGGTCCCCACTCCATGACAGCCAGACACTGATGTAAGCAGGCTTTCAGTGTACAGGCTGTGCTTCGCCAGCTGCTGCCCAGGGCTGGACATTGCCCACAAGGCAGTTGAATCCAGCCTCTGCAAAAGTGGGTGTCAGCAAACCCAGCCTGAACGAGTACACTGCTATGGGTGGTTTGGCACGCAGAGGCGACTGAGTTCAGGCCAGGTATGAGCCTCAGTAGACCTCACCCAGCAGGGAACAGTACTGAGAGGCAGCCCAGTGGCAAAGCAGTAACTTCCCTTTCAACTATCTTTAAAAGCACCTTTACATCTTTTTTTTCAACTTGCAAAGTACAAATAAACTGAAAGCATCAGCCAGTTGTTACTTAAGGGAACTATTGTTTTGTAGACCTCTGCAGCCCTAGTGCAAATGAAATATTATACTCCTCAACCTCCCTTCATGGAAAAAGTCCCCCATTCAGCTCTGCCTTTGATCCTGTTTCTATTCTTCTGTGCTGCCATTAGTGGACTCTTGTTCTTGACTCAGTACGGTCCATCTTACAGTGTTTCTTTAGGTCCTGCTTCACAGTGGGCAAGCGGACATGGACTGTGATGTGTGCCCAGGTTACACGATGATATGTTTTTCATGCTGACCCCCAGAGCAGGTCTTTTACATGCAATGCTTGAACAGTCATTGCCTATGTCCACTGCTGACATTGCCTATGTCCACAAGCCAACTTCTAATTCAGAGCAAGAGGCTTGCCCAATTTCTTCCGAAACAACTTGCTTTGGCATCTGTGTGCGCTGAACTTTCTCTGTCATGGTGGTTTGGCTTCCAAGTTTAGTTAGAATCTTCTGGAGTCCCTTCCCGTCCTGCCAAGTCTTGGTTGCAATTATAATACATGGTTCTCTGTTGGCAGCAAATGCTGTTGCCTTGTTATCCCTCTTCCCCCTTTATTGATTTTCGGAATGGTATTCAGAGGGCCACTTTCATCTCTGACAGGCATGGCCCCACTACCACCTTCCACCCCCGTAAGCTTTTCTTCCCCGTTTGGAACACTGGCCTTTTACTTTTAATGGATTTTTCCTCCTGTCTATTAGCTCTGACTCAATATTCAATCCATGACAGGACTTTTCATCCCATGGCTGCCAAGTTTGTTTCATTCTTGGAAAGGCCATTATCAAAAAACCTTTTGAAAGCATAAATTACTATGGTCCTACTTGTTCCTGATGAACTTCTTCAGGACTCACAGAAGTCAACTGACTAGTGAGTCTAGTGCTCTACCAGAGTACCCTCCACTGGGTGCTGGTCCACCAGTGCATCTGGCATGGTCCCTGTTTTTCTAGAAGTCTCATGCTATGCCCTGTCTTGCCTTTTTTTAAAAGGCAGCTGCTCCCTGGGGCAGAGCAGGAAGAAGGACACTGGGGTTCTGCCTTTCGCACTGTGGGGAGCAGCAGCAGGGCTGGTCATGGACATGACAGGTGCTGACTCCAAGACTGTGTCAAAATGCCTTGTGTTTTCTTGGATAAACCCTTGAGTCCAGGCATCACGCAGAGCAATGCCCCGTCACTGGTCCCAGCAGCTGGCTGTTAGGATGCTACTCTGGGTACCATCATCCATCCCTGCGTGCTGTACAGGGTCATACAGAGCAGAGGCCAGCAGGAAACACCTTGGACTGGTGCAGGGCTGCCCAGGTCTTCCTGGGGAAAGCAGAGTGCTGCAGCCAAAATGCTTGTTCACCATGCCCCAGGGAATGCCATGTGGCAAAGCCATCCAAAAGCCTCCAGAGCAGCATCCCTGATCGTCCCTCACCATCAGCTGAGCCTCGCCCTTCTCCTTTGATGATGAGTGCTGGTAGCACCCCCTCACCATGCAGCATGGCCCGACCACAGCCCAACCCCACAGACATCTTCCCAGGATGAGGACAACCCAGTTTAACTTTCCTGTGGCCAAGTGTGCCACCTAAACTAGGGTGTTCTCATCCAGAGAGCTGGTGGGCACTGCCAGGCCATCCTGTCCTTTGTCTTTTGCTGCTTTCCCCTGAAATAACAGTGAAATAATGCGTCTCAAGAGACACATCCAGAAGTCAGCCATAGACCAGGTGGTTCAGAAGTGGAGGGGCTGTGGTGAGCCTAGGATCAAGGGGTGGGTGCAATTGCCTGAGATAAGTGCCGTGTCCAGCACATTTGGATCTGGGTCTCAGTCTAGCAGTAGTTTAGTTTCCCAATTTACCTATGAAGTGCTTCAAAGGGCACTGAAAGAGTCTGCAAAGGCCAGCAGGAGCATGAGCAACTGCTGAAGCCTGCAGGGAGGATCCCAGGCTGCCAGGGCAGGCAGCAGTGGGAATTTTATCGCTGATTCCCCCAGGAGCAGAGTTAGGCGATCACACAAAGCTTTCCCAATACAAGTTCAAATGTATGAATTTACCATATCTAACGCCTCCCTGAAATCCAAACAGACTCAATTACACTCTCTTTCTGTAATGAATCAGTAATTATATTGAAGAACACTATTATTTGTTTGGCATGACCTATATAAACCCAACTTGAGGAGTGCATAGTTGGTGTGGTGCCAGTGCTCTGTGCCCTGCGTATTATTGCCTTATAAACACAACCATTGTTTGAATTTCAGATCAAAACAAACCGAGCCATGTCACTTGTCAGTTATTAGATATCTTTTTCCCAAATGCTCACCCAGGCTGTATTACAATAACAATAATTATTATTACATACTTCCTTATTATATGTTTATGCCGAGGTAGCACATTTGCCTTTTTCCCACACATTAGTTGCTTCTCCTGACTCTTATGATTCACTCCTGCCTATTTCCCAATGTCCATGAGCTCTTTCTGCATTCCCGGCTGCATTTTGTCAAGACCTGCAGATTGGCACAGCGATTCATGGTGCTGTATTGCACCAGTCTGCAAAGGGTTGCAACCAGCACAGGGGCTTCACTCTTCAAGGGAATATGCAAACAAAAGAAAGATGTGGACCCTGCCCCTAGGTGCTTTATAAATATTTAACTTGGTCTGATAATGTGATAAAGACTGATAAAATGATTTGGACAGACTAAAACCCAGCCCTGCTTGGGCAGGGTTGGAAATGGACCCTCTGTGGGACACAGGGGGGGAAGGGGACAAGCTAGAGCACAATGATGATTCTTTCAACAGACATGGCCACAGCTGGGAATAGGACTCACCTTACCCAACTTGGGACATCCAAAATGTACTTGTCAAGTCGTCAACATGTTGCTGACCTGCCTTTATAGTCACAGAAGAGAAGCAGTGCTTGGCTGTCGGGTGAGTCAGCCCTTGTCAAGATAAACTTCAAGATATGTGAGATGAATCATACACAAGAGGTGCCTATTTGTCTCCATTGACTATGCAGGAAGCCTGTCCAACTAATTAGGTTTAGATACCTAGCTTTTAGGCACCTAAAATCAGATGAGAGGAATCCCATCCTCACAGACGTTCTTCGTTACCGGCTTGACAAAGGAGGCAGTGGGAGAGGCTCCCTTGGAATTTCCTACCAGATTTGGACCTAACCAAACTCCTCCATCCTCTGTGCATGGAAATCTGGAAAGCCTCGCCTCCCTGTCCTCCCCACGGAGCTTCTACAGGCATGGAGTGCTCCAACCATGCCCAGCTGGCAGAGATGAAAGCATGTTCCCTGCTGAGGACTGAATGAGGCAATGGTCTTGTGGGAAAAGATATAATAGTGGAGCTGAAGACTGTACTATAATGTATTCAGAGCAGGCAGGAGGAACACAAAAAAAGAAAAAGAGATGACCTTGGCTGCCTGGTGCTAAAGATGTGTTTTGATGGAACAGGATAGGTGGGAAAGCAAGCTGCCTCCCTAATGCAAATACCTCATGGAGCTGTAAAATGTGTGGAGTGCAACCCATGTGTTTGGAAACAAGGTTATGACAAGTTCCACCATGAAGGGCCAAACCGGTATTTTTCAGAGAGTTACAACTAAGCCTGTTGGAGGTTAAGCAGCCACCAGCCCTGCAAGCAGCACCTTCTGACACCAGCACTTCATGTCAGATAAATGTCATGACCCGAGAGGATCCTGAGCAGTTTTAAGACTTCCTCATTTAAAAAACAAACAAACAAACAAACAAAATGGTGAAAGCACTTAGTCCTAGCACATTTTTTTGATGAAAAAATCATGGAAACATCCCACCGGTTGATGTCTGCTGAATAAATCAGCAGCCAGGGCTGCTCTGGCTGGAAATAGGCAGAGGCCAACAGAAATCACTGTGCCGCATTATTGCCCTGTTGTGTATGGGGTTGGGACTGTAGAAGCAGGATTTGAAAAAAATGTGGAATTTGTCCTGGTTTCTGAGACCTGTGCTTTCCATGTCCCTGATCATTTGTTACATGCATTAACTACCCTGTTGATACACGGGCAATAGCTGTTTTGATGTGCAGCAGGTGTCACTTGCTCCTTTTTTTCTGGAAACTGCCAACAGCTTCTTTAAAGCTTCTGGCACTTCCCTTAACCTGAACAACAATGTATTTAGGTGAGAGATATTTGATTTTTCTCTGCCGCGGCAGACGTGCAGATTAGGCCAGGTTAAGGGCACCTATTTGAAGATATGCCCTTGCTGTACACCATAATCAGCTCCTGAGGTTGGGCCCACCAGGGATGCTGGGGACCCCGGGACCCCTACGTGCTCAGCTGAGACTTGGAGAAAAAGGGGGTGCTGGCACCTGGCTGTGCAGGTTGTCCCATGTGTGTGGACTCTCTGCAGGGAGGGGGATGGGGTGCTGCTTTGGGGACCTGCAGTGGGATAGCACACCACTCTCCACAACAGCTGCTTCGCAGATCTGCTCCACCAGTGATGATAAACACATCTTGCTCCACACCTTATCTTGCTGTAGCCGGCTGGGCACTTTCTCAGCTCCCATTACCACACTGGCAGGACTGAAAATCCCTTCTCTAGCTTCATGCAGTTGCAGCATGTTCAGGGAGGAGATCAGAAGAGACTTGCTCCTTGCCCTAGAGGGTTTGTAACTTCACTGAGAACAGGTAAACCCCTAAGAAGAGGGAGGTTTCTCTGCAGGAGGTGGTAGGTGCCAGCAACAAATGAGCAGCAGGGAGATCTGCAGCACTGCGAGAGGAGCTGCTGTGCCCTGTGTCCAGACAGGGTGTGCAGACCCCAGGCAGGGTGGTGGGTGCCCTGCCAAGGAGCTGGGGTACAGTAATAGCCCCACACCCTGCTCCCACCCCTCACACAGGCTGCATGTGTTTGGGTGCAGCTGGACGGATTCCAGGATGTGGCTGGGCCAGTCGCCTGAGCAATCATGACAAACAGCTAAACACTAGCATGGACTTGCTGTCCTGCTATGTGGAAATATATTAATTGCATTAGTATTTCCACTGGAAATTATAACTTAGATCCATTAACTTCAGCCAATTTCCTTACCCTGCGTCTGCTAAAAGGACACCTCTGCTTTTCCACTGCAGTGTCTTGTCAGTGCCACCAGCGCTAAATTTGTAGCAGGCTAGTCACATCCATGTGACACTTTCAGAAGAGGTCACAGATTACTTCCACCTCCTGTCTCCACTTCCCCTCACTTCCCCCAGAGGTAGCCCAGCACCTGAGCTACTGAGAAACAGAAACCCGTCTTTATGAACAACCAAATCAGATCCCGAATCCCATTATTAATTAGTAAAGATGTCTTGTAATTTAGATCACCTTGGATGGTCTTTAGGTCATTCACAGGTGTAAAGTCAGGAGGATTAAGGGCATATAATATTTGTCTGGCACCACTGCTACCAATTCCAGCAAAAATAATGGAGCTGAATTCTTGGGTTTCCTGCTACCACAAAGTACACACATGCACACACTCTCTATTTTACAAATGTTTACATACCGGAGCTGCCAGGAATCTCACGCCCGTTGCTTCCCACCAACTTAACACACTTTCCTGTATCTCTGTGAATTTGTTTTCTCACCGAGCAGCTGGTAATATCCCTTTCGCTTGGGAGCAGGCAGAGGCTGGGCTTCCTCGGGTGCCAGAAAAGCCTGGCAGAGGGCGCACCTACAAGCTGTGGTTTCCATCCCAAGCCATTTACAACTCCCAGTGGCTACCCAGAGATGTTCGTTCCATGGAAGAAATGCAAAGCCAAAATAAAAGGAAGTATTAAAAAGTTACAGACAGGTGAGAAATGGCCACGCTGACATCCGCCTACTCCTCCTGTAAGGCCGCAGCGTCTGAGGTGGTGCCTGGAACAGAGGAAACATCTACACCGCTTGCAAAGACCAGCAAAAACGCACTTCCACACCTCCACCTCCAGGGGCACAGCCAACAAAAATAGCATCGGACACAAAAGATATGAATAGAATAGTGACTGCAGAAAGCCTCGACTCATTTTACACCCTCAGCAAAATTAAAGGCAAGGAGGTTTGTCCTTCCTCTGTCCTCAGCCTCTGTACACCGGAGCACCAAAACAAAAAGGACATGTCTATTTACCTGAAGATTCCCATGTGAGCAAGGGAGTGAAATGCCCAGCTCGTGTGAAACTCACAGGGGAAAACCTTGCTCATGACGAAAGCACTTCCTTTCCTACCTTGAAACTTTGGGAACTGAGCGGTAGGAGGGGGAACAAACTAAACCACCCCACCCCCGCCTTGTTTTCAACAATTCAGACTTTTTTGTACTCATGTTCTTGCTCAGTAACTCTGACGCAAGCAGACTTGCAGACTTTCTACTGCCAAATGGCTCCAGATGAAGTGCAGGTGCCTTAAGATAGCAACCTTCTTCTGTTGCTATGGGAGCTGTACCATCATCAAGTATATTTGTGACAAAGCTGGCACTTGGATTCAGGTTATACTTGATGCTCAAAGTAACCTCTTAGTACCCTGATGGGGAGTGAAACTGGGCAGACAGTGCAGCCACCCCATGAGACTGTTCTCCAGCCTTTAGCAGATGCCAGCATGTGAAACAGTGCCCAGGGGCTCAAGGACGAGACAGTGCTGATTTGTACTTCCCAGTGCTTTTCTCCTGGCTGTCCCAAACAATCTGACATTGCACAGCTAATCCCAAATTTGTGAGGCACATGCACGTCCAAGCCCATTAGGGTTAGACAGAGTATAAAGCTGAAAAGTAGACCCTAACTATGTAAAAATAATCAAACTGGATCAGGTCAAAGGTCTGTTGTGGTTTTCTTCCAAGAGCAGCCAATGCTAACGGGGGAAAACAGGGGAATGAGAGTGTGATACTTTTGCTGTGCATTGTCCAGCAATATGTTGCAGAGGTTTCCCTTTGCCTTTAGTAAACCTCCAGGGACTTTTCCTCCATAAATTTGTCAAATTGCTTTTTTGACCCAGTTTATACTTTTGACCTCCACAACATCATGTGCCACCGAGCCCAAAGTTTCATACATACACGCGACTGGAAAAACTAATCCTTTAAAACTCCTGCCTTTATCATTTCATTCACTGCCCCCTGTTTCTTCCCCATTTTCTAGCTACTCTGGCCTATTTCAGCTCTCATTCAGGAAAGTGGTTCTTAATTCCACTGTTAAATGTGTATACAGGTCTGATGCAGAATCTTATCCCTCTGTATTTTGAGACAAGTTTAGCATCTGCTTGCATTGGAACCAGGAAAGGTGAATGCTCCAGAAGCTGCTCCGGTGCTGAGGACAAGTTTGGGAATGGCTTGGGAGGTCCTGGACATTTATTCCCACTTCCCATGCCCAGCTATAGTATCCCAACTGGAATGTGCTGGGCCTGGACAGATTGACACACATGAGAAGGCTAGTGAGCATGGCATTGCATTCATTCACTTTTTCAGTAATCTTCTTTAATAATTGACTTTTTTTTATTCATTTACCTATCTTAATTCATTTGCATCTATCAAAAGTTCTGGCACGACTCTGGCGGGTGGTGCAAGGCTCTGATTTTTTCATTCCTCTGCTTGGTGTGAATTCATGCCCACACAAATTCCCACTCTGGCCCGGAGGGCTCTGACTTTTAGCCACGAGGTGGGGTGAGCAGCTAAATTTCTTAACGAGCATGTGCGCAGGCAATGCAAGGCAGACCACCATGGAGTCGGGATTTGCCAAGCTAAATCATTGGAAAAAAATTCCTTCTCAGCTTCAGCTTTTGCTGCTTGATCCGCGGAAATGTGCAACCTTAAACCCCAAGTTTCCAAAACAAATGCATACGGTGCAAGCGAATAACACAAAAGCAGCAGGGGTGGACGGCTGTACTGGTGGAGGAGCTGCCAGCCCTGGGCTCTCAGCTCTCTTGCACTGAGTTCAGCCTTGCACCCTGGTGGGCCGATGGGGAGGAACCACGCAAAAAACAGGCTGGGAGCGACTCGGTAGTGAAATAGTTATCTCGGCTGGCTTTCTCGGTAACTCTTGGAAAGTCCCCGAAATGACGTTTCTAACCTAACAATTAAAATGGGTTTAATTATAGAGAAGCTCAGAGCCCTGGGAACAAGCACCATCTACAGAACGAGTAAACAACTGCAGAAAATAATAGGCTGTTCACTCCCCTACTCCTCACTTCTGGCCAAGGCGAGGGGAAAAAAAGAAACTATAAAGAGAAGGAAATTCGAGGAACCCGATTGCTCTCCCTAAGTAAATAATAATAATAATAGAAATCTGGAATAGCCTGAGCCTGTGGGGGTTTCAGTTGGTTATTTTGGCTGTTCTTGAAGACCAAAGGAGGGGAAAAAGATCAGCTGCCAGTGCAAAGTCCAGATCCCGCGACTCCAAAGCAAACAGAGGAGGAAGTGGATCATTCGTTTGAAGTTTTCAGTGCAATGGCTGCTCGGGTCAGCGCTCTGCAGCCGAACTCAGGGGTTTCTGTTCTCCCAGCCAAGCCAGATCGCAGGGCTGGAGGAAGAGCCTGCAGCGCCAGGCTGGGCCCCCCTCTCCCGCCTGCGCGGGGCAGAGGGCCCAGATGCCATTGCTTGGCCTTAGGGGAAACACCCACTGAATTCATAGTTGGGAAGAGCAGTCGCCTCAGCTGGGACTAAAGGGGATAAACGGGCAGAGACTGGGAGCTGAGGCACTCTGGTACTGATAAGCCTTGAGCAGTTCAGCTCGTTTTTATTTTTACAAAAACTGCCACCATCTTCCCCCTCCCTCCCCTCATATCGAGATCAGAATGACTCATTGAATCATACTTTGTCTACTAAAACCTGGAACAGATTACTTGCTTAGAGCCTTTCTTTTCTTTTTCAGTTTTACAATGTTCAGTTCTGGGGACCGGAAGAGGACTCTTTGGGGAGAAAAGGCAAGATTTATCAAACGCTCTTTTAAAGGGCGTATTTTAACAACTTAAATTAATGTGGATGTGAGCTATTTCCCCTTGTAGAACTTGCCAGGTTTCAGTAAAAACTGGAAAAAAGGAGTAAGGCTATGGGGGGCGGGGAATGGGGGCGATCAACACAAAGCCCGGCAGCGCGCACACACTCCGGGCAAGCGGCCGCACCGAACACAGATCCGATCAGTTTAAATCCAAGCAGACAGAACCCCATTGGATTTTCGCGGGAAAAAACGTCCGGCGATCGCGGAGCGCGGCGCGGGGGCCGCGGAGCCGCCGAAGCGGGGCCCGGCCCGGCCGTTGGGCGCGGGACAGGACGGGACGGGACGGGACGGGACGGGACGGAACAGCCGCGCGCGCTACCCCCACCGCGCGGAGGGCGGAAGGGAGCGCGCCCACCCCGAGCCGCGCCCCGCGCTACACACGCGCGCGCACGCGCACACGAGGATACACGCGCACAACGTGGAGACGCGCGGACAGGGGCGCGCGCAAATACGCGCGCACACTCGCGGACACCGCACAGGCGCGCGGACGCGGACGCGCGCGCGCACAGGCGCGCGGAGTCAGTCGGTGCGGCCACACAACCGCCCCCTCCGGAGCGGCGCGAGGCGGGGCGCGGCCCGGCCGGCAGAGCCACCCCCCCGCAGCCGCCTTGCGTTCTTCACCCCCCCCGTCTCTCCTCCCTCCTTCCTCCCGAAAGTTTTTCTGGGCCTGCCCGCCCGGGTGATTCAGTCGCGGTGTCAATCACCCTGCCCTCCTCCACCTCCTCCCCTTCCTCCCGCCGCCGGCTCCTCCTCCTGGGGTAAGTCCGAAACTTTATAAGTTGAGCCTTCCTCGACTCGCTGAAAGTGAGGAGCGGGTGCGGCGGCTGGGTGGGCTGGTGGCGGCATCAGTAGCAGCGGGGGGAGGCTGCAAGCCGGGGCGCTGGAGGCTGTGCCTTACCCACGCCGTGACTCCTCGTGTCCGAGTGCCGCTGCCCCACTCGCTTCCCCCCTCGCTTGCCGAAGATGTCCACAGCGCTGGTGTCGCCCACCATCTTCGACTTGAGCGAAGTTTTATGCAAGGTAAGGGGGCCGGTGGGGGCTGCGCCACCAGCTCCGGGACTATTCTTTGGGGTTCGTGGGGGTTTTTTTGGGTTTTTTTTCCCTGTTTTCTGGTCGTGAGCAAGTTCGGCGCTGGGACCGGAGGGCGGAGGGCGGGGACCGAGCAGGGGCATCGGGGCGCGGGGGTTTCCCGCCCATGCTTCCCGCCTCCGCCGCTCCGGAGTGGGGAAACCGCCCCGCACTCCTGGCGGGCTCGGCCGCGGCGCCGAGCGGGGGGGCGCGTATCCTTCCCGTGCCCCTGGGGCCGCCGCGCTTCAACACGCCCGGGCGCGGCGCGGCGGGCGGCGGCGCTGCCGCGGGGCCGGGCGGGCTCCGTCCCGGCGCCCCAAGGGGATCGGGGGGCATACGCGGCGCCCCGCTCGGCGCCGCGGCCGAGCCCGCCAGGAGTGCGGGGCGGTTT